GGTGCGAGGGAGCGCAGGGACTGCAGCTCCGGGGAGCTGGTGCACTGCCATGCACTGATTTGCACCAGTTCAGGGTAATCGCCTGCCTTCACGCGGTGCATGGGGTTACACACCTTGCAGCAAGCAGCTCAGCATCCGGCCCCGACCTACCTACCCGCAGCTCCTGGGAAAAACAAACAGCTTCAGGCTGCCAGGGCCAAGCGCTGTGCAATGGTTTCCACAGTAACAGCGAGCTGTTGGCAGGGTCTTCCTGTGTCCTGCACACACACAACCTTCTGGACGTGGCAGCCCCCCGTGTGCACATGCTTGCACAGAGCGCGCACTGCACACACGTGCAAAACATGCTGCCGGCAGCAGGCATGGGTGTTGTGCAATTGCAGAGGGAGCAGTCAGCACTGTGTGTGCGCAATGCACAGCTAGCAGTGTGTGTGCGCAATACAGTGCACAGGCAGCTTTGTGAGCTTGTGCAGTGCACAGCTTGTATGTGCAATGCAACGTGCAGCTGGTTCTATGTGTGTTTGTGTAATGCCCAGCTAGCAGCATGTGTGTGTGCTGTGGCAGCGCCAGCTGGCAGTGGGTGGGTGTGTGCAAAGCAGCACCCAGCTGGCAGCCTGTCTGTACAACGCAACACCTAGCTAGCAGCGTGTGGGTGTGTGCAAAGCAATGCCCAGCTGGCGGTTTGTGGGGGTCTGTGCAATACACAATCGCCAGCGTGTGCACAATGCCACGCACAGCTGGCTGAGTGGATTTGCATATGCAGCGCACAGCTAGCCCAGCATGTGTGTGTGTGTGTTCATGCAAAGCACAGCCGGCAAACTGCATGTCTGCCTGCAGCGCACAACTCAGAGCATGCCTGTGTGTGCAAGGCCATGCATAGCTGGCTGGGGGGTGTGCGTGTATGCAGTGAACAGCTAGCAACGTGGGTATATCTGTGCGCAGCGCAACGAACAACGAGCCGCGTGTGTGTGTGTGTGTGCGCGCGCGCAATGCAGAGCGAGCAGTGTGTTGTGTCTATGTGCAACGCACACCAGGGCTGGGTGTGTGTGTGCGTGTGCAATGCAGAGCCAGCAGCGCGTTGTGTCTGTGTGCAACGCACACCAGGGCTGTGTGTGTGTGTGTGCGTGTGCAATGCAGAGCCAGCAGCGCGTTGTGTCTGTGTGCAACGCACACCAGGGCTGTGTGTGTGTGTGTGCGTGTGCAATGCAGAGCCAGCAGCGCGTTGTGTCTGTGTGCAACGCACACCAGGGCTGTGTGTGTGTGTGTGCGTGTGCAATGCAGAGCCAGCAGCGCGTTGTGTCTGTGTGCAACGCACACCAGGGCTGTGTGTGTGTGTGTGCGTGTGCAATGCAGAGCCAGCAGCGCGTTGTGTCTGTGTGCAACGCACACCAGGGCTGTGTGTGTGTGTGTGCGTGTGCAATGCAGAGCCAGCAGCGCGTTGTGTCTGTGTGCAACGCACACCAGGGCTGTGTGTGTGTGTGTGCGTGTGCAATGCAGAGCCAGCAGCGCGTTGTGTCTGTGTGCAACGCACACCAGGGCTGTGTGTGTGTGTGTGCGTGTGCAATGCAGAGCCAGCAGCGCGTTGTGTCTGTGTGCAACGCACACCAGGGCTGTGTGTGTGTGTGTGCGTGTGCAATGCAGAGCCAGCAGCGCGTTGTGTCTGTGTGCAACGCACACCAGGGCTGTGTGTGTGTGTGTGCGTGTGCAATGCAGAGCCAGCAGCGCGTTGTGTCTGTGTGCAACGCACACCAGGGCTGTGTGTGTGTGTGTGCGTGTGCAATGCAGAGCCAGCAGCGCGTTGTGTCTGTGTGCAACGCACACCAGGGCTGTGTGTGTGTGTGTGCGTGTGCAATGCAGAGCCAGCAGCGCGTTGTGTCTGTGTGCAACGCACACCAGGGCTGTGTGTGTGTGTGTGCGTGTGCAATGCAGAGCCAGCAGCGCGTTGTGTCTGTGTGCAACGCAC